TGTTTTTAGGTCTAAAATAGTTGTGCTTTTCAGAGTTTTGTGTATACATGAAGAGTATACCTTTTTGTCTCAAGTAGAATCATTTTCTATTTTTACAATGTACATGAAAGACATTGTCATTGAAGAGTATGATTACTGGATTAAAGTATCCACGGTCTGTTCAAGAGTGCTGTTTTGGAAAATGCTTATAATTGTATACCGTGATTGCCAAGGTCATGTTTAGTTGGTTTCTGTAACAATCTACGTAATCCAAAAACTGGACTTTGAGATATGGAAGATGATAATTCTTGATTCTTAGAAATATATTTCATTCATAGAGGTTATTACATGAAGTTTTGATTTGGATAAATATCTAAGTACTTGAATAAAGATACAAATTTATTTGAACTTTAGTACAGAAGGGCCAAAAGGAAATGAAACAGAAAGCTTCATGAGATAATCTTACTTCCTGTTTCCAGCATGGTGAAATATTACAAGAACAGTCTTCTAAACTATGTTGGACCTTGCAACATATCCTTACTGTTCTACTTATTTCTCTGAAGTAGTGAGTATCTCATGAGCTGCTTAAGTTAAAGATCAAGTATTATGTCAAGAAAAAATATTATAAGAGTTGTCTCTTTTAGATAATGAGACTGTTTAAAGAAAACTACTCTTAATCCCGGCTTCCAAAAATGAATTATCAAAATGAATCCAGGATTAGATTTCCTGAAGATAGTGAAGAATTGAATATACAAACTTTTTAACAATTTAGGAATAAGTATCCTTGAACTATATTTAAAAATTATATTTGAATTACTTAAATAGATTTTAAGGTTAATAAAAGTCATTCCTAATTTCAATTAAGTTAAGTCCTCTTTCTATCTCAATAGATATTGTGGGTTTATACTCAGTTTAACAACCAGATGTAAGTTCAATCCAAATTCCAAAAGATCTGCTCCTTGTACCATTTTTAAACAGATTTGACCCTGAGAAAACTTGATTCTTTTCATACTGGCCATTAAAAAGTCTCTGAGACCAAATCAACAGCCGCCAGAGAATTTTGATTCTTGGTTGATTCCTGCCCCCCACCCCCACCCCAGCATTTTGTCCCTAAGAGTCCATCCTGGTCCAGAACTGGATTTCCAGAGAACTCGGTGTAGTCGTGTAGCTAAACTTGATGTTTGGCTACAGTGAGGTCCATAATCACTGGAATAAGCAAAACAGCCTGACCTGGACTTTTAATATTTATTGTCAGTTTACCTAAAAGGAAACTTACCTTTTCATCTAAGGTATATGTGTGTGTGTGTGTATTTGCCACTATCTGAGACCGTTATTGTGCCTCTAAATGCTTTCAGTCTTGTCATAGTGTAATGGGTAGAAAGGCCAGAAATTCTTGTTAGGGATATAATAACACATGTGAGGGTAGAGGCGAGGATGGGGAGCGGAGGTACCAATGAGAAAGTGGAATGATGAGAAAGCAGGCCTGGAGGTGAGTTGCTTCAGAGGCCAGACTGCTGAGTTGGGATGTGTGGGTAACTGAGGAGAGGTGGCCCAGCATTGGATGTCAGGAATTTCCTGGGAGGGCAGCCTCGCCTGAACTTGAAAGCCATAGAGCCTAGAAAGAAAGTATCCTGAAGTGACCAGAAGAAGAGTTCCAGCTCGGACCGATGGGTAGAGGGAATTGTGGCACCAGGAAGTCAAATGACATGTGATAGCATATAAACTCTTTGTCCATATATAATTCACCAGCTTTTAGATGCTGAAACCCTGAGAACAGTGGGAAATGTAGTTCAGAAACTTTACACAGTGGAAGGTGTGTGAAGGAACAGTGCCCTTTGGAGGAAGAGAATCACAGAGATGAAGAGATTGGCATTTCTCAGTTGCAGCCCCTAAAAGGAGACAATAGAAATCAGCCATCACAGACCACCAGAGAACCTGTGTGGACCCATTTTCATTACCCAGAAAGCACGTTGGAGGAAGACTTAACTGCAAGCATGGCAGAAATACCCAGTCTCCCACCTCATTTCTCAGGGTTCCATGAGATTGTTTGCTTTCCCTCTACCCTATTTGCTCCTGCCTCAGGCCTAGAGAACTTTGTGTGACCTGATATAGATTCTTGGTGCTCAGTGGCTTGTTAGTCAATGCTTTGGGGTTGTTCTAAAGTCCTAAAGCAAGTGCCAGGCAGTGTGCCCAAGGTGAATTCCGGTTGTTCATTTATTACTTCTTCGTGGTGGGCAGTGGGACTGGAAGCCACCTGTCGGTCTCTGTATGAGAAATGGCAGTGTTGAGATCTGCCCCCTTATACCTGTGGGCAGAGGTATCATCACTCAGATCTGAGGAAGCCTTCCTGCTCTCAGACGGTGGCACTCGTGCGCAGACTTCAGAGAAAGCAAGACTTCTGATGAGTCTCCTTACCTCGGCCGCCCAAATGAAGGTGTGTGTTGAATTCTGCTGACGGTTAATAGTTGAGCCCTTCCCTGGTTATGGAAAATCAGAATGAGGACAGCTCAGTGAGAAACAGATTCCATGGCAAACCAGTCTGGGAAGTGTAGCATTCTCGAGCCTTTTCCAGAATTCCACCATGCATGTGATCCTCCAGGAAACCCTTTAAAAAGAAACCTATTTCACTTCATCTAATTCATTTAACTTTGGACATCATTTTCCCTGAATATCTATTAATATTCCTTGGAAGGCACTATTCAAAAGATCAGGTCCTAAGAAGCAGATGCTGAAAGAGGACACAGGCTGATAGACACCAAAGGATAAAACCACCAAAAACAAATCTTGCCCACCTTTGAGCAAAGAATTCTTTGTATGCTTCAGGTGGCCAGCTTCTTTTAGCAGCTTACCTTTCAGAGTTCCTGGTGAAACCTTTGAAAACAACTGTGCCCTATAAAAGCTAGCTTTCTTGTTACTAAATCCTTACATTAGTGGCTTAGTTTTTTAATTGAGTTGAAGAGTAACTAATTTAGTCTAGTTGTGAGCAAACTAGTTTGATTTAGAAACTATTTTTGAGGAGGACAGTTCTTTTAAACTTTAAAAATACTTTTGTAGCCTTTTGGCCGGAACCGCCATCTTCCAGTAATTCGCCAAAATGACCAACACAAAGGGAAAGTGGAGAGGTACCCGCTATATGTTCTCCAGACCTTTTAGAAAACATGGAGTTGTTCCTTTGGCCACATACATGCGAATCTATAAAAAAGGGGATATTGTGGACATCAAGGGAATGGGCTCTGTTCCAAAAGGAATGCCCCACAAATCTTACCATGGCAAAACTGGAAGAGTCTACAAGGTCACCCAGCATGCTGATGGCATTTTTGTAAACAAACAAGTTAAGGGCAAGATTCTTGCCAAGAGAATTAATGTACGCATTGAGCATATTAAACACCCAAAGAGCCGAGACAGCCTCCTGAAGCGTGTGAAGGAAAATGATCAGAAAAAGACGGAAGCCAAAGAGAAGGGTACTTGGGTTCAACTGAAGCGCCAGCCTGCCCCACCCAGAGAAGCACACTTTGTGAGAACCAATGGAAAGGAGCCCGAACTGCTGGAACCCATTCCCTATGAATTCATGGCATGATAAATGTAAAGAAAATAAAAGACCTCAAGACTGTAAAAATGTTTCTCTCAATTGAGTAGAAGTGTGGTGTCCTTTCCCCCAAAAAAATATTTAAAGCAAAAAATAAATAAATAAATAAATAAATAAAAATACTTTTGTAAAGCTACCCAGGTTACCAGGTTATTTTTGCCTTGAATTATCTGTGTATAATATTGTAATTATGTGTGAATGATTGCTTTAAGATAGTTCTCCTGACATGTTGTTGGCTCTATTACTCAGCAAATTTTTTTTCATACTGGTGATAATCTTTAAGCACAATTCCTATTATATCTGAATTAAGGACATCATTGAAAAGAAAGCACAAATATTTTTTTAATTTTTAATTTTTTTGTTTTTGTTTAAATTCCAGTTAACACACAGTATAATATTAGTTTTAGGTATAGAATTTAGTGATTCAGCACTTAGATACAATACCCGATGCTCATCATAACCAGTACACTCCTTAATCCCTATCACCCATTTAACCCATCCCCCAACCCCCATGCCCTCTGGTGACCATCAGTTTGTTCTCTATAGTTAAAGAGTCTGGGGTGCCTGGGTGGCTCAGTCATTAAGCATCTGCCTTCAGCTCAGGTCATGGTCCCAGGATCCTGGGATCGAGCCCCGCATTGGGCTCCCTGCTCAGCGGAGAGCCTACTTCTCCCTCTCCCACTCCCCCTGCTTGTGTTCCCTCTCTCACTGTCTCTTTCAAATAAATAAATAAAATCTTAAAAAAAGAGTCTGTTTCTTGGTTTGCCTCTCTATTTTTCCCTTCTCTGATCATTTGTTTTGTTTCTTAGATTCCACATACAAGTAAAATCATACAGTATTTGTCTTTCCCTGACTGACGTATTTCACTCAGCATAATACTCTCTAACTCCAGCGACGTCATTGCAAAATGGATAGACTTGATTCTTTTTGATGGCTGAGTAATACTCCATTGGATATATTCACCACATCTTCTTTATCCATTCATCTGTCAGTGGACACTTGGGCTCTTTCCATAGTTTGGCTATTGTTGATAATGCTGCTGTAAACATCGAGGTGCAGGTGCCCCTTCAATTCAGTATTTCTGTATCCTTTGGGAAATACCTAGTAGTGCAATTGCTGGATCGTAAGGTAGTTCTATTTTTAACTTTTTGAGTTTTCCTGAATGGCTACACCAGTTTGCATTCCCAGCAACAGTGTAGGAGGGTTCCCCTTTCTCTGCATCCTCGCCAACACTGTTGTTCCCCGTGTTGTTAATTTTAGCCATTCTGACTGGTGGAAAGCACACAAATTTTAAAAGATATCCAAAACATTATTTAGTCCCAGGTATAAAGGCATTTGAAAACATTAATGGATCTTCTACACCCTATTTCCTTCCTCTAAAATTTGTTTCCAGATTTCTGCTTAATTTATTGATAGGATTTGTTTTCATCCACAGAGGCCAGCAAGCTTGTCATGTCGTATGTAGCGGCCGTTTGTGGAAAAGGAGCAGAAGTGAACCAAGTCAAAGAACAGCTTTTACAGTCCAACCCAGTCCTGGAAGGTAGGATTTCCTGTGTACATCGGGTCAGTGTGATCCAGTTTGCAGGGCTCTTCAGGTACCTGGTGGGCTGGCAGGGGAGCTGGGGGGAGGCAGGGAAAGAGGAAGGTTCAGGCCCGGACCTGCAGGGCAAATGAACTGTGTCCTAAGAACTCTTGGCTTCAGGTGCTTAAAGGAGGAAACAGTTTACTCATCCAAAAGGAGCTTTCCCACTTACATTCATTTTTTTCCCCTTTCAATTTTTATTTGAATTACTTCAGTTTTGCCTAAAAATAATCACCTGATATTTGCATTTGACTTGATGGCTAGGAAAAACTTGGTGAAAAAGCGCCGCATGAGTGCAGTGCTATTTTATCATTTGGGATAACACCTGTGGCTGCTTATTTCTGTTGTCAGAAAGGCCGTGCCAGAGAAACATCTAAAGGACAGTTTTTTTCAGGATCACAGAAAGCCTAAACCTGTCTCTGGAGTTCAGGTTCTATGGTTGGCCATCTGTGTTAGTTAGCTCAGGCTGCTCTAACAAAATACCATAGGCTGGGTGGCTTAAACCACAGAAATTTGTTTTCTTAAACTTCTAGAGGCTCAGGAGTCCTAGATGAAGGTGCTGGCAAGGTAGGCCTCTTGGCTTGCTGGTAGCCACCATCTTGCTGTGGGATCACATGATCTCTCCTTTGTGTGTGGTGGCTGGGGGCAGGAACCCTGGTTGGCTCATGACCTCGTAGAACCCTAATTACTTCCCAAAGGCCCCAACTCTAAACACAATCACATTGGGGTTAGGACTTCAACATAAAAATTGGTGGGGGACACATACATGGAGTCCATACTACCATCAGAAAAAGCCAGAGGTGAGTCCCCCTAAAGCCATGGAGGTTGGCATAAACCATAGGCATAAACCATTGTTTGCTTTGGAAACAGTAAATCAGTCTTTCCCTATTGATGGCAAGTCCTTGATTTTTGCTTTATATTGTAAGCCTGTCTTTATTGTCACTCATATAGTTGTTGGGATAGAGTAGGGTTTCTCAACCTCATTTTGGACTGCATAAATCTCTGCTATGGAGTGCTGTCCTGTGCATTCATTGTAAGATGTTTAGCTGCATCCCTGGTCTCTACCCACTAGGTTCCAGAGGCACCCCTGGCCCTAGTTGTTAGCTCTGAAATTGTCTCTGGACACTGCCAAATGTCAAGGGTCAAAACCAGCCCTGATCAGTCTTTGGTCTAGAAGAGTAGTTTGGTTTAACTCTTTGTTCACAGTCATGGAGGGTCAAGATTTAACATGGATTAAAGCAGAACTGCTTTGGGGTGAGTAAGATGCCCCCCAGTGTGGAGGGACAGAGCCCTGCCTGTTTTCTTTGTTACCTAGACCTAGCCCCTCCTTCCGCCTCTTCACCCCCCAGATAGTGAGATAAGACTAGTGAAAATACTTTAAGTTGTGAAAAGCAAAACCTGAAACATCTATTCTGTTGTTATACCAATCTTTCGTTCCCTTCGGTACCTTAACGAATAAAGACGCTATTACGGAAAGTGCTGTATCTTCATTTTATTGTTCCAGTATTTGACTTTTTGTTTACTTTCCCTTTTGCTTTTAAGTTAGGGTGCTGTACGTGTATTTCTGTATATGCTTATTTTAAGAACGCTGTGATCTAAAGGAGAAGCACTGTGGAATGCTATAGCTTGCATCTGTGATGAGAATCTGGCCCTTTATTTGATGGTATTTGGAAGTAGGCCCCAGTGCAGGAAATGGAAGAAATGTCTGCTGTGGGCATGTATTATCTTTTATGGGAATGCTTTACTTTTTAGCTGGAACTGCTACTGTAAATGAACATTTAGAACAATGAACTTAAAAAAACAATTGAGGAATGTGTCTCAAGTGTTCTATAATGAAACACTTGTTTTTGATTCTGTGGCTCACAATAAAAGACTTTAGTGTTTAGAGCTGTGTGTGCAACTCAAGATTTGTTTGATGAAAAGATGGTTTATGGCATGCAAATGGCGCCCTGAATAAAGTTTTTTTGAAGCAATTCCTTCACTTGCCCTTGACCTTCAAGCCACAATAAACTGTCCTTTATGCATCAGCATCTCAAGCTGGACTTTGGGGCTATGCAAGTTAGTTAACTTGGCCCCCCTACATGTTCACACCCACCGGGAAGACTAGCCTGTTAAAACACGAGAAATGTCGTGGTCTTCATGACCACTGGGGCAACACTCAGCCTTTTCAGGGTTGCATTTATTAAAGCCTCTTAGCTGGTGGTGGACATGGATAATGATGTGAGCCTCTTCAGTAAGCATCCTTTTGAGTATTTCCTGTGTGCAGGTTTCCCCACTCAGTAGAGCCTCTCAGCTGATTTTCTATTAAGGAGAGAATTTGGCATCAGGGACCTACCAAACTATACCCCTCCCAACCTTAATCGCTGATACGAAGAACTTTCCCTGTGTTGACTTTGTAAATTTCTACTGAACTGAGCCGGAACCAACTATTTTTAAAAAATCAAAAACACAAAAAAAGCCAGCAAACGTGAAATATAACGCATCGGGTTTGGCTACTGAATATCCAAGTGAACTTCAACAGAAACCCACGGTCGCGCCTTGATCACGCGACTGCTTTCAAAACTTGGATCAGCTTTTAGCCCTTGGTAACCATTTGAACTCCTGTTACTCTAATCTTCCCTCTGTTTAATGAAGTTATGGAGGCTTCCAGAGGTTTGATGCCTGGCTTCTTAATCTCAAGATTCATTTTTCTGGTTGCCACATTACTGAGTACTCTTCTGTCCCTGTTAGCTGCAGCGGGCCCAGGGATCCTAGTAACAGGGGTGGGTGGGTTGGGGAGTATTGGGAGAAATGCAGAATTTCATGACCATCCCAGACCCATTGAATAAGATCCTTAGGTGACTGGTTTGCATGTTGAGGTTAGAGGTACACTGCTGGGCTTCTTCCAAAGCAATCAAATGGGGATCCTTCTGCTTATATGCCTTATATTTATTCAGCTTAATTCTCTCCTACCGTAGCCCAGATTAATTTGCCCCTACTTTGTGCACAAGCTTGGTGAAACAGACCTTTTTCTTTATGACGCCATGAACTACCTATATTGAACAGGAGCATTCTGTGCCTGGGGTGGCATCAACCTGTGGTTCTTAGGTGCCCTTATTTTCTTAAAACGGACTCCTGTGGGAGACTGGGCTCCTCACAGCAGCTAAGTTTGGAATAAACTTGGATTCTGCATTATGGGCCCATTTGGTTTTCTTTCTTTTCTGGAAAGTTTCACTTAGGTCCGATGGGTATGAACTAAAGAAACTATGTAGTATTTTTAGCCTATTGGAGATGATGTTAGTTTCCAAATCTCTTACTCTTTCTGTATTTCACAGTTACATATGTAATCACATTTCAGTAGCTTTATTTTAAAATTAATTAAATAATTTAAAGTTTCTTGTGCCTTTTCCATCTGGAAACCTCATCAAGTTCCATGAAGCCTTTGATAATACTAAGTAGTCAGTCATCTCTGAAATAATCTTATTTATACTGATGGTAATGGTGGAGAATACAAGCCTTGCTTGCCATCCACTCAACTGACTACTTTTAAAACAGTAAAAGGTTATTTAATTAGACAAGATTCCATTTATAGTAATATTTGAAAAAATTCCATGAATCATAGGAATGACTCTCCTTTTCTATGAACTTGTCATAAGACATGGAAGCTTTCTTAAGACTTGTGTTACGTTTCTATGGGAAGCTTGGACAGAAATGTCATTGCTGCAAGTTGTATTTTCTAAGATTTATAGCTATCAAATATTCCATTTGCTTTAAATTTCTGCTTGAAATTATTTTTCTGTCAATTTTACCCATGCATCTGTTTCTTTCTTACTAGCTTTTGGAAATGCCAAGACTGTAAGGAATGACAACTCCTCTAGATTTGTAAGTATTTGTATAAGCATAAGTGTTAACACTAATATTTAGCTCATGTATGTTTAAACAACCAGTAGATGTTTAGTATTTCTTAATATACACATTTGAAAAATAAGAACACCCCTGCTGTTGAGACACAGAAAGTTCTCTAAGGACTACTTTTTGCTTTCTGGGATTTTTCTTTTTAATTCTTTTTGGAGTGACAGCCAGACTTTCATAGTTTCTTGTCATCTATCATGGAATTCCATGGGCAATTGAAAGGAGGCTCTTTAGAAGAACTCTTTACTTACCTGAGTTTTGGCATTTAGAAATCACAACTAAGAATCAGATTAAGTAGAAGGAAGGAGAAACTGGGTGTCAAGTTTTTGTACTCTACAGCTTTTGTCCTTTATTCAGTGGGACGAGGAAGGATGGAAGGGTACACTGAAACTTTACAGAGGTAAAAACTGCAGCTGATTGATGTTTCGAGTTTGGTTGAGTTGGAAAGTGCTGAGTGCGGGAAGACACACCTTCCTGGTCTCCTCTCCCGGCTCTCCCCAGCATGTACTGCCCTCAGCAGCCCGCTGGGGTCTCTCCCGCTGAGCACGCGCTGTCCTGCTTTGGTCTTTATGGAGACACAGACATGGCCTGATGGCGGTTGGGGGAAGTGCGTTGAGTGTGATGGTGATATTTTGAAATTGGCCCCTTTTTTCTACAGTTTAACCTATCTTATAAATTTTATAATAAAAGGTCATTTACTTTATAAGCTCTTCTTCTCATATACATTACTTGGGACCATTTTGGGTGATTTTTATGCTTCTCTGCCAGGGACCCTTCCTGCCCTTTCTCCCCATCACTTCTTTTAGTCTCCCTTTTTGCTTTTTTTCTCGTTAGAGTTATCCAGTGCTCAAGGCAAGACAGTGACCTCAGGTAGAGGTAGTTTTGGTAGCTTGGAAAGTGGAGGGCTGAGGTTCCTAATTCCAGGGCTGTAAATTTTTTCCATTGGATTAGCCCTTTACGTGGTTATAGCTGATTTGAGCCATGCCTGTTGTAACATGGCTAATCTCATTATATAAATAGATTTAGAAGCAAGGTGTGGGCAGATAGAAGTAATTCTAAGAGATCAAACTCCTTTTTGAAGACTTTTTTTTTTTTTTTGGCTTGTTGGAAATGTACACATACACCTTTTAAAAATGTCTAAATTATTTAGTCTATAGACTACAAAAATGCAGGAAACCATATTGCCTAAAGAGTCATTACTACTTTGTGATGTTTGAAATCTAGTGAAAGACCTGGCAGGTGATTTGGCTTAATAAGTAACTTGAAATCCTATTATAACATGGGTGTTAGGATACGAGATTAATACTTGATTATAGACTAAATCATTTCATACCCAGTTTTTAGTAATTTCTCTGCTTGGTGGTCTGTGACTTGATCAGTAATATACTCAAATCCACGTTATAATTTGACAGGACTCTATATTTACAGTCACTACTGTATAGAACAGTGGTTTATGTATTAAACATTTGTACTCCGGGGAAATTGCATTTCCTTTGTGTTTGATGAACTTCTTGATCTCTTCACTGAGCAGTGTGGTAGACGGTGGTGTGGTGGTGTAGTTACGCATGCTCATTGCCGCTGACATATCAGACGAGTGTTCTCAGAGAGGTACCTCACATTGCTCTCTACCCCCAAGTACCTCTAGTTTGACATATTGAACTTCTTTTTTTTTTTTAAAGATTTTATTTATTTATTTGAGACAGAGAGAATGAGAGAGAGAGAGCACATGAGAGGGGGGAGGGTCAGAGGCAGAAGCAGGCTCCCTGCCGAGCAGGGAGCCCGATGCGGGACTCGATCCAGGGACTCCAGGATCATGACCTGAGCCGAAGGCAGTCGCTTAACCAACTGAGCCACCCAGGCGCCCGACATATTGAACTTCTATTAAGGAAGTGACCCCACTGTTTTTGAAAAGAGACATTTAAGGCTTTGGAAGTCACTATTCTCGACCAAGGGATTCAGGGGAGGGAAGAGGAGTAATAGTGGAGCGTCTACCATCTGCAGAGAGCCAAGCTAGGAGATAAGGCATAGGGTCCGGAAAATTCCGTTACCAAACCTTTCATTCAGTAAGAATAAAAAAAAAAAAACCCATACAATGTATTCATTTGTTTGAAACCTCTGGTTTTTGTTTTTGTTTTTTGAAAAGTTAATTACGCATGGGTCTCCCTGCATCTCCTCTTGCAGCCTACAGACCTTTCCCTACTGGCATCCAGAGTGATCTTTACAAACCTGTCTCACTGCTGCTCTTCTGAAAGCCGTCGGTGGCTCCTCCTTGCACCTGGAGTGCAGTACAGGCTCCTCCCAGAGCTTCCCACGCCGGCCTGCCTGAGCGGTGGCCGGCTCTGCCCCGCCCCACCCTTGCACGCCCCGCCCTGCCCTTGCACGCCCCGCCCCGCCCTTGCATGCCCCGCCTTGGGAGCACAGGCCTTTGTGACAGGAGCACTGAGCGCCTTCTTGCCTTAGATCTTTGCAGTTGCTGGTCCTCCCGCACGATGTGCTCTGCGTCCAGATCGCTGCATGGCCACTGTCCTGCATCATTTAGGTCTCACCTCAAGTGTTACTTCTATGATGCCTCTTCTAGACTCTGATTTCATCGTGCTTTTAATTTTTTCAGGCACTCGTTAATCTCTGGAAAGATTACATTCACTTTCTCTGTTTCTCTCTGATCGTGGACCTTAGAGAGGAGGAGCCATGGGAGCAAGGAGCTCGGCCTTCTTGTGTCATAGAACGGTGCCTGGTGTCATAGTAGATACTCAGAAAACATTGACGAATGAATATTTTTAAGAAGCTTATAGACGAGTCAGAAAAAATGGACATGTCTAAAAGTAATTATAACACAACACATAAAATAGTAAGTTCCCCATGAGTAAGTTCCAAAAATAGCTTTATGGAAATTCCGAATAGAGAAGCTGGAGGAGTCTGGGGCAGGGGGCAATTCTGAGTGGGCCTGTAAGATTGACTAGTGCAAACTTAGATTTTTTTTTTCAATCCCAATAGCACCACTGAAATGTGCCAAAATCGAGTAGAAAGCCAGGAGAGCTGGTATGGGGAAGCCAAGGAGAGAGACCAGAATGGACCTGCCCTGGTCCATGTCAGTGGTGGGACAAGAGGATCTGTGAAGGGAGCCATGGGCCAAAGGCCTGGAGAGATGGGTCGGGGCCTCCCCTGGAGGGCTTCGAGTATCAGGTTCAGGGTCTTGGGCTTTATTTTCTAGGCAGTGGGAAGGCATTGGTCTTCTCTGAGAAGACTCATGACAAGCTCATGGGAAGAATGCCATTCCAAGATCATCTGAATTCTCAGTGCTGTCCTTTCGTTTATCCCTGGTCAGCTTCCTTTCCCACTCTGTACGGGGTTTATCGTACTGTCGGCAGAGCCCCTATCCTTTACTCTCAACTGATGACAGGAGGCTTACTTCGTGGAAATCATTGTCATCAGCACCTTGCTCCTCCTCCTCATCCACGTCCTCAGCTTTGGGGCCTCACCTGTCCCTGAATCTGTAGAGACACCCTTCTGTCACACTGGGAGAGTCTCAACTCCCATCTTTTGCTAATCCCTCCGCCTGTGCTCTGGATCTGGTCACTTCCTCTGTCCAGGAAGCACCTTCCATCAAAATCACCTCCTCTTATATGGTCAACCTCTGACTCTCCTGTGAAGTTACTCTTTCTCCCCTCCTTAGCATAGCTATCTACTCGTTTGCCTGGACTTTCTAATCACTGCCTTCCTCCTTTCTTAACCTCCTACGTCAAACCGGGATCTGTCATGGTGACTCTCTGGGGAGCTCTCAGCTCTGCTTACTCTGCCCGATTTTGCTCACTCCTGCTTAAAGCCATCAACATTTCTCCCATGACTCCTGCCACCTCCTGTCAGCTGTGTCTGGTTTTGCTCCTTTCCAGTCCATCCCACGTTATCTGGGGTGATCTTGTAAATAGGCAAGTCTGATCATGGCTTCCTTGTTTAGAATCTTTAATGACAGGACTTTGCTGTCAGGAAAGTGTCTTGATGCCATGAGGTGTGTGTGCCAGCTTCCCTCACCAGCCTCACAGATACCTATTCTTATGGCCCTCCTTCCTGCTCTCTCGCCTTCTTGCTGCCTGACTTAACCCTGATACTTCACATTTGAGCTGGGGTGGACCTCAGCCTTTGTCTCCTACTCTTCGTGCATAGCAAGCACCCTGCCTCACTGTAGGATCTGTCTCCATACACAGTAATGTCCTGTTTATCTGGCTCAATTCTCTTCAGGCTGGAAGTTCCTTGAGGGCAGGTACTATGCCTTGCTTTCCCTTGTGCCTACTTTAAGTATCTAAGAAATGCTTGGTAGACATTTGCTTAATGAATAAGAGAATACTTTTGAAAAGGACAGGTGAGCCTTGACAATGAAGAAAAGAAAGGCAAGAGAGCATGTATAAGCTAATAAAAGGTCACAGACCGCATTGTTGACTGAGTGCCGTGTAATCACGTTTCTGACCCCCTACGTTTATTTTGAAAATAGAAGGCGTTAAAGTAGTCATTCTTTGGGAGACTTATTTACAAGCCATCTATGTGATTATTACTAAAGTAGAACATGAAACAAAAGCAAAGACCACTTATTAGACCAACACATCCTTTTTCAAACAAAAACCAGCTGTCAGGATTGTTCTGTTACGCTTGTTACTCTTTAACTAGACAGTTATAGACCAGTTCTTTCAAAATCACAGTATGAAACTCCATGTGTGTTTCTGTGTGTTTAAGATACCATCTATAAAATGTAATAGGAAACTGGGATATATGTATTACTGTATAATCTAGATCAAAAGCCAAAGAGAGTAATAATGGTCAGTCTTTGATTCCAGATTGGTCACAATGTATAAGCATGCATTTGATTTGAGTAGATATAAAAACAGAATTTTATGTGTTCCATTTTATCCACTGTCCAGTATACTTGGAGTTTCTAGCTATGACTTAAAACACATTTTGCTTATAAAAATGAAATAATTTATATTCCCAACTAGTGCATATACAAGGAATACTTACTTTTCCCAGTTTTTATTCTTGAATTGAATACACACACACTCTTGAGACATTTGAAACATGTATCTGAAATGAAAAAGTCACATGCTGGCTAAGATCTATTCCTAAATTAGCAACATGATATGTTAGCTTTGAGCTAATGTGGTATTTAGTATAAATTATTTATGGAGGCATATTGTTTTGCCTCATGGTTACATAAATTGTGTGTTAATTACATTTGAACAAATGTGTAAAGGGTTAGCATGCTGTTCTCTAAGAAGATATGCTGACTGAATATTTTGAGGTAATCTTGAAAACTCACGAAGTCTTTCTTTGGCAGGGCAAATATATGGATATTGAATTTGATTTTAAAGGCGATCCACTGGGAGGAGTGATAAGTAACTGTGAGTATTTTCCTTGCATCCTTTTAAAGAAGTTCAGAATAGCAAAACATATATTAGAAGATTTAGGATAATTGAGTCTTTAAGAGATAGACATAAGACTATAATTTCTTTTCCTTAGACAATGCGTTTCAGACTATGTGTTAGACTATAGTGTGAGCATGCATGTAAGCTGGTGGAGGGGCAGAGGGAGAGGGAGAGCGAATCTCAAGCAGACTCCTTGCTGAGCGCAGAGCCCGACTCAGGGCTCTATCTCATGACTGTGAGATCATGACCTGAGCTGAAATCAAAAGTTGGACGCTTAACCAACTGAGCCATCCAGGCGCCCCTTCTAAATCTTTTTTAAAGATCTCTTAAAGTCTTTACTGTTGAAAATCTTTAAAATTTTGCTAAACAAATAAGAATTAGTCCAACTGTATTTTATGTTCTATAGGTTTTTAAGTCAATTCATTAATAAAGGATCCTCTAGTGGTTATTTTCTTTAACAAAATTATTTTATGATTAAAAATAAAATATAAATAGTTGATTTTAATTTAATAACTTTTTAGTAACTTTTTGGGTAACATTTACTCAATAAAATGAGTGGACTTGTACTTCACATTTTATTGTGGGAAATTTTGCTTGTCTTTGTGTATTTACATCATTGAAATGTGGTAAACCTGGTAGGTAGAAATACAGATTTCTGGGCGCCTGGGTGGCTCAGATGGTTAAGCGTCTGCCTTCGGCTCAGGTCATGATCTCGGGGTCCTGGGATCAAGTCCCGCATCGGGCTCCCTGCTCCTTGGGAGCCTGCTTCTC